CGTATCGAAGAGCTGATTACCCTTTATGCACTGAAATAATTTGTACATGTGCCGTGTGCTCTCCAACTCAGAGCTACATGGCTGTGACTTGTGGTCTCTCTCCCACCCTCCAAGCCACCCCAAATCTCTATAAGGAGAATCTCAGACACTCTAATTCCTCATCATTGCCTCCTCTCTTCCTCCTTCTGCTCTTATTTTCCCTGATTTGCTCCCCACCCTTTTTGTGGGAAACAATTTTGATTCCCCTAGGTTGCTCCTTTCCCAGTCCTCACACATTGCCCCTAATACGCCCAACAAGGAATGAGCTTATCAGCAAATAAGATTTCACAGAAAAGGAGAGAACGATTATTACATTTGGTTCCTGTTACACAAACATATATGTAGGATTTTTGCATATAATTTCTGATCTTTCACAGACCCTCATCCTAAGAATCCATAAACATCCCACGGGTTCTGGACCCCAGATTCAGAAAACTTGTTCTACAACAACTAATTCTTCAGCAACCAAGGAGACTTGGAGGAAGAAACACAGCCTGGACAGGGAGTCAGAGCATAAGAAGCAGAGAGAAGACCAATACCCAGAGGACAAGAAAGAAGCGGGAAAACCAAAAGTAGATCCAAACAGAGTAGGAGTTTTGGAGCAAGAGGGATCAAGAGCCAAAAGGCTCCCGTAGGAAAACCTGAGTCCCAAGCAAGCAAGCATGGTTTCTGGAATCTTCTTGAGATGAGAGATTCCTGACTCATTATGCTGCTGCCATCTCCCCTCGCAACTGACCTCTCCATTGTCTCTGCACCAACAAGAAGTAGCAGCTGGACAAGGAGTTTGGGGAGAATGTTGCTAACCCTAACAGTGACCTGCAGGGTGATAGCCCAGAATGGAGGCAGACCTGTGTTCCCACAAGGAGTCCCTGCAGACTGCGGATGGATGTTACAGAAGTGATAAGGAGACAGAACACCAACCCCTCCCTGGTGTGGGGGCTCCTGATGGAGAAGAGGGCAGAGTCGGGGCTCGGAAGGGGAGGCCACAGGAACTCAGAGCCACTCACCTGCATACAGCTGGGCCTTCCTCCAGGCTGAAAGGGAACACACCCTGGTGAGACCTCAGCTAGAACCAGCCCACTCAGC